GTTTCCGAGGCAATCTCCTTCGATTCCGGTGAAAAGGTGCTAAGATTTCGTCCGTCATATGACGGACATCCTCAGAGCGAGTTAACATCATCATAACAAAATTCAGGCTTGCGAGTCAAGAAAACATATTTTTAACTTGGGTTAAGAACAAAATGAAAAAAATTGAAAGAAACACCTTTAAAACTCCCAAGCAAAGTACAGAATTCGACGCAAATCCTCATATTGGAGAAAGAACCGTTATGACCAATTATTCTAATTTGCGTATAATTAATGAATGTTATTAAATTACATCCTAGTAGTCATGCAAAGTCTATAAGTAGTATGAATTAAGCGAGGCCTGTTTGGTAAAATTCGAATGTGAAAGGGCAAAAGTAGCTAAAATAAGATTAGAATTTTGCCGCAAATCATTGTTGCCTCTGCTCTTCAAAACTTCATCCATGATGCTTATTCTCCTTCTTGCGTCTAAAATAGCAAAATTGAATAAATAACAATTATATAAATCTATACATATTGAGCTTACTTCCGTCTGAGTAAGTGTTTAGTGAAGAAATTCGAGGGTCGAGCCCACCAGAAAACGACGGAGGACTCGTCTAGACCAGCTGCCGATTGGCCTTAGTGGAACATTCTTGCTGATGCTACTTCCGAGGCGTATGTCTTTCGATTCCGGCGAAAACGGGCGAAGAGTTCGTCTGTCATAGGACGGAAAGCATCGGAGCGGGGTATCATCTTTACAAACAAATTCAAGCTAACAAGTCAAGAAAACTCACAGGCTCATTACTAAATATTGTAGATATGCCCGAAATCTAAGTTCTTTGATGAGGAATAGAGAAATTTGATTAGTTCTAGTCATACGTCAACCTCGGAGCATGGGAGTGTGCCTGTCTGTGTGTGTGTGTGTGTGTGTGCCTGTATGTGTTCGCATTTGTGTAAAACCGGAGGTAATGCATCAAAGTAAGTGAAAGAACAGAAGCAACGTATGTACGTGGCTATCAAGGTTTGATGAGCATCACAACGGCCTTATTTATTTGTTTAGGTAACCTATTTTAAGCCTCATTCCAATTGTGGAAGGTAGGACGCACAACCGGTTATGTTCATGAGCATTTTTGTCTTTAGGCGAGAGAGAATGAGTCGGCTAACGTAGCGAGAAGTGGTCGTGATTAGAGAGGAGATGAGAAAATCACTATTTGAGTCGCGTCGTATTTCTACGCGGCTCAACATTCTCTCTTCCTTCAGTCCATTAGTTGAACATATTTCGGCATATTTTATTCCTTACCTTCAATTTTTTTCCTATTCGGTATATTTCGCCGGCTTCTCTCATTCTACGTTTAGCCGCAAACATGCCATAATCAGCAAGACAACACGTTTGAGAACATTAAACCTCATGTCCCGTTGCTGGACTGTGTCAGCCAACATTTTTCGAATTGGACGACAAGTCTCTCCAACCTTAAGTAGTCACCATTAAAAAAACTATTCTTTATTATTTTTCGAATTAAGTATTGTTTTAGTGACTACCAGTAAATCAGTAGTATGATATGTATTCACCCGATTTCGTTTCACATGATGAAAGACTGGTAAAAGAAGAATTTTCCCACAATGATATGATTTGAACTGACGTTTACATTTAATTTCACATAGCCTTGCTTTCCCAACAGTTTTTCTCATCCAGGCAGGAGTGGACTGCTGTTTCTACATCTCATACTACTGATTTACTGGTAGTCTCGAAACAATACTTAAATGCGAAAAACATACTAAGATTACCCTGATACCTAACTATCAAAATCATCCTATGTCTAGTTACCTTTATGAGAATTTATTTTTGTTATATTCGCATTTAAGTATTGTGTCGAGACTACCATTAAATTAGTAGTATGAGAAGTATTCACCCAATTTTATTTAAAGTGATGAAGGACTGGAAAAAGAAATATTTTCCCCACAATCATATGAATTGAGCTTACGTTTCCATTCAATTTCACATAGTCTTGCTTTTTTCCAAGGTTTTTTATCATTCAGGTCGAAAGAGCAGTCCACTCCCGCCTGGATGAGAACAACCTTTGGGAAAGCAAGTCTATGTGAAATTGAAGGGAAACGTAAGCTCAACTCATATGATTGTGAGGAAAATTTTTCTTCTACCAGTCCTTCATCACTTTAAATGAAATTGGGTGAATACATCTCATATTATTTATCAATCTAATGCTATTTTCAACCATACCTGGTGGATAATTATTCTCAAGAAATATTGGTTTAAGCCGATCCGGTTCATTAAGACAATCGTCTCTATCGGCCAGTCTTATTCTCCGAATAATCATAGATTTTACAACGCCAACCTTTGCTTTGTAACTACGGTTGGAGTAGACGTTAAGGATAAAGCAAGTGTGTGATTTGCTTTCTACATGCGTCCCTGTTTAACTGCTCACTTTAGCATTGCTTGCCATGCTGCTTTACGTCAACATGCTCATTCCTATATCCTACTGACAATTTTTGTGTCAATCGTACCTCTTCCATGAAGCGTTTGTCCATTGTTGTCATGTACTTCTTCACTAAAATGGGAGCCAAACAAGGTCCCATTATCTCACCCTGCACCTGATCATAAAACCTATTATCAAACGTAAAGTATGAACTTATGAATAGGTAAACTCGCCTTAAGATTAAACTTTTGTCCAGATTTTCTTCAGCGATTATTTCTGGGTGTTCATCTGGGCTGAGTGCTAGTGCTTCAATAGCTTTATGAATTCACCAGAAGATCTTGCTCTCTAATACTCTGTTGATCTATCAGTCTATCGAATTCATATGAATTCTTCACAGAATATTTCCAATACTCAACCAATTTCCTTAGTTGTCTACAGAAAAAACGTGCGATCCAATGCATCACAGTACCCTTGTTATTAACAA